GGAACCATATGCCGATATGGTCTCTGTTGTTTCTAACTGGTTTATTGAAGCATGCACATTCTATCGCATGGTGTTTGAAACATCTAATATCGATTACATCCACAGAGGCATACTGTATTATTCAATGAAACACGGATAATCGACCGGATTGAAAATGTCCCTTGTCAACGGAGCATGGGTGTGCTGTAACAGCCTTTACCTTTACACACCTTACCTTGCAGACAGCAATCGCCCGAATGGCTGGGTTTCTGGATGAAAGAGGTTTCATTGCAATATATTCTTTTCAACCTCACCGGACATATCTAGCTCAAGGGATAACTTCCTCATACAAATGTTCTTGTGTTTAATTGTATGTTGTTATGACGGGGTACTCAATGTTCCAGCTATATGACGGTGGCCTGTACATATAATTTAGTCAGAATCGGCCGCACCTGTAATTAATGTTATTAACAATGCCCCTCCCCGTCTCGATCACCAAGCCTGACCACCAATGTTGAATCGTGACATGCGACATAGTGTGTACCACATATAGATCAGATGTATGAATATCGGCATCATATTCACCAACATCATTGAATTTCTGGGTGGTAGCACTACAATATTCCTAACTAGCTTCATGCACGTACCTTCAAACAAAATCCCAGAGCACAAGAGCGATCTATGGTAGGTCATACCCGTTCCATCATGCATATACTTGACATTTTCGCTTCACGCTGACCTACACAACGAATCAGCCGTAGTGTTGTGGGGAAGCCATTGTCACAATTAGGTCACACAAGATCTAAAATTTTGTTTTCCGCTCATCACATGGAAGGGCAACCATTAAAACTGAAACCAGCGACCTTTCGTGTTGGATTAGCCCTCTGTACGTTCAGACAATGAACGTATGTTAAAGCAACACTATTGATTGTCTGCTGCAACGCTTCCCGCTCTGCTTCATCCCAGGTGTCGATCCGGCAATAGGTGGAGTTTCCATAATACCATCTCGTGTGTATACTGCCATCACACTAATAACATGATCACATCGACACGTGAACACAGAAGTGTCTTTTGATGGAATGAGATGCAACATATGCACATTTCTGAGATGGGATCAATTTGCCCTATCAATAATTAACCAATGATTACAGCAAGCGCAGACACAGCTTCCTTTTTAAAAATGAGAGCTGCCATTTTGTCATCAGTCAACTTTACAGATTCATATCAGGTTAATGCAAATAATCAATGAAGCAAGTTAAGGAAATCGCACAACAATACTGTACATTGTATATGTACTGTACAGTGGCACATACAGGTGTTCACCTATTTAACCGTTGCCATCGGTAATTAAATAAACGTGATTAAAAGTTAAATAATTTGCCTTGTATCATGTGTGGCAGGTGTCATTAGCACGGGATTCAGCATAATGCCACAGCCAGCAGTGTCACTGCGGAAAGTGACTGATCATGTCTGCAGCAGGCCATACAGTGACTGACAGCATGGCATATATGGCATAAATGATGATTGCGAGTTCATTTCGCTGAATGTATTTATGTGGAAATAAACCCAACAAAGACCTTTCCATATCCATAAGACATCTCTGCTGAAAGCCATACCTATACATATGCCATGCTACACATCACGCCTTCATTGAGTCGCAAGCTATTGCCACACACTATATTCTACACACATACACCGGAGTGCAGCTCAAGCCTAGATTGCCTCAGCTCTAGGGTCTGTCCAAATCTGCAGGGTTCACATGCGAGGCTCTGGTTTGTTTTTATCAGTTACTCTTCCACTGGTGTTTACAGCTGATGTGGGTGACCTCCACTGACACATCTGGAACCCTCACTCCCTTGTCTAAAAATAATGAATGCCAGCTGTGGGAGATCCCAATTACACACAGAGCTACAGATAAGTAGCGTATGTGCGTAAAATATTCCCCAAAAATATTCAAAACCAAATTACTTTCAATTAACTTGCGCACAGAAACGCATGCATTAAATGAAAAACTGAAATGTATAAAATCAGCACGCGTAAGTACCCAATATAGCTTTTTCAGCATGCGTACAAAGGAGATAATATCCGAAGCACAATTACGAGCTAATTTACTTTCCGAGTCCAGCCTATATATTTAGAACAGTTATCATGGATATATACATCAAAAACATTATTTCATTTTTTTTAAATCTTAAAATGTTCACTCTTTTGGGAAAAAATCCAACGGAGTTAAATATAGATGAGTGAAATAATATTGGTTACCAAATGAAAAATGTAATAACCCAATTAAAATTCAAACCGTAGAGAAAAAACTCAATTGCTCAAAAAGTTATCTGGAGCTCTGTTTAGGGAGAGGAAGCGTCCCTGCATTACACAGATATATTTGCAATGGAATCCAGTAAGGTATAGAAGGCAATTCTGAGACTGTGCTTATATACCAGAAATATGTCGCCTGAGTATCAGCGGCATGTTAACAGAAATAAAGGTCTTGCTCTTTATTTTCAATACATTATATTCACCATGTAACAATATATTGCCGGTGCCTGGTCATTTAAGACTTGAAAATTGGGTCGTTTTGATGAAATTGCCTAGTTTGTTTTGGCACTAGTCCGTCATATCCGTTCGACATGCGGAGGTAACTGTGACGTCACATACAGACATGGAGATGTGGAATTGTAGACGAGTAATGATAATCCATTGAAATAACGCAGTTGAGTCAAAAAGTTGAAATACATGGAGGTTCCATCTCACAAGGCGAATAAAGTTAAGACCGCTATCATTGACTATGATGCAGCAACCAGGAGCTCCTTTGAGATGGTGCTTCCCCGAGTGACACTCAGAGGTTGTCGTCTATTTCACACAGGCACTCATCAGACGAGTGCAAAACCTTTGTCTCATTGGAAGTATTATTTAGCATGTATATTGTAATAAAAATAATAATAATAATAATAAAGCTACTACTTATTAAAAGTTAACATCTTAGAACAGAAATAAAGTTGTTCAACCCCAATGTGTTGTCTACTAAACTGCATTTATATGTAGATATTAAGTAACATATCATTCGGCACATTCTCATTACTATTCTTCATATACACAGGTCAGTTACTGTCATAACAACAGTGGACACTGCTACGCGAACAAGCTACAGGCCATGCCTTTTCTACCCCCTTCGCACATCAGACCTGTCTTCAGGAAACTACAAAACAGTCCCTTCCAGTTATCAGTTGGTGTCAGTTGTGTTGAAGACGAACACTGTGATCAATAGTGCGGAGTTGTCAATTAACAATGTTAATGTTAATGTTATTCCTTGTTATGTACTGATGGAAAAGCCTGGATTTTTAGTGTCAAACTTGAAAATCCTTGAAAATCACCAAATTAGCTTGGAAAGCCTTGAATTTGTACAATATAACATAAACGTTCATAAAAGTATTAAAACACACAAAACTAATAGTTATGTGCCAAAGATGTTTAAGTGTAATTTATCACAGTGATAGATTTGACATTTTGTCAAACAACTTGAAGAAATCATGACACGACTTAATATATTTTATTTGTTGGTTGTGAATCAATTTTGTTTGAAAATTTGTGACGTTCATGCTGCCTTTTAGTCTTACGACTAATATACAGTTTGGTCTTACGACTAACTAAAAAAGCCTTGAAATGACACTGATAGTCTTGAAAAGCCTCGGAAAGGCCTTGATTCCATATCTGCATGAACCATGGCAATGTTATGCTGTCTCAAACAGTCTGTTACAACACGTGCAACATGTGGGCGGGCATTATCCTGATGCAACCTGACGTTACGTCCCTGCATTTGAACAAAGAGTAGACTATGATCTCGAACGATGTCGTCACTACAGCGTACGCCATTCAAATTGCCATTATCAATGATAAGTTGTGTTCTCCCTTGACTTGTGATGCCATTCCCGATACCATTACACTTCCATCCCCAAAATGACTATAATGAGTAGCTATTGTACACCCTTGCACGACCATCAGTGTTGTCCCCATAAAACCTCAGATGCTGCCTACACCAAGCTAGACGTGTCTGACGGTGACGTGGAAGCAAAATTAGGCGTATCGCTGGATGTTGGGGTCTGGTGTTGTGCTCCCTCAACCGGTTGCGCGTGGCTCTGCCAGTAGTTGGTCTCAACCCAGGAATCGCCCGAGCTGTTAATGTCGCAGTTCGAACCGAATATGGTTGTCTTGTTTACGTGACATCACCCGTGGACGACCGGTCCGTGGCAAGTGACGAGTGTTGCCCAGATGTAAATAACGTCTCGAAAGAGATGATATTTTGTTTTAATGAACATCAAAAATCAATACCCACGGTGCCTAGACGCTGATTGTCAGCAAGCTGTGGCATTGCTTAGGCGATATTTAAGGTTACCAAAATTGTTTTATGAGCAGCTGATAACTAGACAATCACTGTGCACTGTACAACATTGAAAAGAAAACGTGTATATCATGGTCCCAACAAACATGCAAACATCCCCATTGTGGCCCGTGCATTAACATGCATGTGCAAAGTGAATTAAGACTTTAAAATCCAGTTCTTCATGAATATGTAAAGATGCATGATTTAATTTCAGAATAGATGTATTTTTATTGAATTTAATATCAAGCAGTTACTTTTTCCGTTAGTAGTATATGTACAAAGTATAACAATAATTGTGACAGAATTGAGTTTGTTGTTTTTATATTGTTTTGTGTGGCAGTTTTGACTGTGGATCGTTGGTTGAGGCAATGTTGACCTGCTACCTCTGAGGACGTGAATCATTAAAAATATTTCATTTGAGGTTTCAGATAAAAATGCATATTACTGAGGATTTTAGTGATTAGGAACCCACTTCAAGGTTTGAGATATTGTGTAAATGTGAATCTCAGGATATATAAACAAACTTAATAATACATTTTAGACCAAAGGCTTAGTTCAAGATAAGCATGACATTCCAGATCGAAAGAATCTACTTCATCATGATATACAACACAAATATTTTCATGAAAAACTAAAACATTACTTAGCAGGTATAAAAGTATTTATTACAGAGGCAGACATGCATACAAACCAGTTCATTAGAGCTATTTACATACATGAAGCTTTGAAGAGGCTCAGTGGAATGGCAAATTTGCAATACTACAAACCAATATGGCATCCAACAGGGGTAGTTCAATAACATTGCTAAAATCTTGTAATAGGTTTTAAGATCAACGTATATACTGGGAGTTCCTTAAAGATGAATCAACAGAGAGATGTTTTGTGATGCAATGGACAATATTTGACATCATATCAATACAAACGTGTTCATTTAGTTATTTACAATCCAGTTTTTACTTTTCTTCGTGCATAATGTAAAATTCAATTTAGAACAATGAAAATGTACTTTACAAATGAACTTAAAAGGAAAATATTTACATGTGCATATATTTGATTTTAACTCAAAGGTGTAACAAGTTATCAATTCAGGATATGAAGTTAAATAATTATTTAGTTTGTAAAATATGATAATTTCATAGATTTCTTAATAATTTAAGATGCCTTTATATAACATAGCATCTATGTTTAGAAACAGTTCAGATTATAAATCAAACTAATCTTAAGTGGCAGTCTTTAATACATTATATTTGATAATGCTACATACATGTGCTGCAGTTGTGCCAACAACAAAATAACTTTACCCACTAGAATTGCTGGGGAACTGTTCAAACAATAACATAGAATAGCACTTGCAATTTTAAATCAGCACTCTACATAAATGTACACTAACGGTAATACTACTGACCTTGTACCACACAATCACCACATGAATATTTCCAGAAACAACAATATGCTTAACAGATTTTAGTTTCCAAGTTGATTCTGGAAATTGAAAGTCATTTATTCATGCTGTGTAATATACATCATATTCATGGGTTGAGAGACTCCTAAACTTCATATCATAGTTGTAGCGCTGGCCTTAGGAGTAAAAGATGAGAGAGTGAAACAAAGACACCAATGTGGGTCAGGAAAGAAATAAGAAAGAAAACTCATTTTAACAAAATAAAATGAAATCTGCTAAAGTTCAACTGTTCTGGCAAAAATGATGAGTTGATAATAAGCACATATTTCATAGGTTATTAGGTACATAGAATCTGCAATTGGATGTCAAATAAAAAAGTTCCAAATATTGCAAGAAAATAGGACCATAGAGAGTACATGCCACCGACAAGCATATTTTGTAGAATCAATGCCTACTTTACAATGTTTGTGGTAACAAACACCATATTATGGTCTACATAAGGCCACCATTTAGAGAACTAGGCATCGGCATATCACTGAAATTACTGAGCAGGCTAAAGTGGATGAAAAATCACTTGAATATCACACAGAATGAAATAAAACACAAATTCCTACAAGTATCAAGTGATTAACCCGAAAAAAAATACCTGAACCCGAATTCAAAGTCTAGTTGTTCTAGTTATTCACCATAAACCTCTCACGGAGGAAAATACCACTACATGAGAACAAATATTTCATTTTATGGAAATACTATGGAAAACAACAGTCTGGGTTTGGGAAGATACTAGTATTTGTGCATTTCCTTGAAAATGAATGCTTACTTGTCATGTTGTGTATGCCATGATACATAGTGACTACAACTACAGCACTACACTCCAAATACACTCACACTCTCTATACAGTTTATACAGTATATGAAAGCTCACTCTGCCACTTTTGACACCACTCAGGATCTTCTTTTACAAATTTCAAAGATTTGAATTAAGAATTGTTCATAACAGATATTGAGACGTTTGTCAGTATCAAGTTAACACATGTTTAGTATGAACTTTGTTTTCGGTATTACCTCCTCAAATAAGTTCCTACATTCAAGATTCATGCTACAGCTATTTACCTGTAAAACTGAGAAGACAATCAGTTACCAACCACGAACAAAAAATGAGGCTGCCTTAAACTTTACTCTCAAAGATGAATCTATACCCAGTGGCTTTAAACCTGCCCTTGAAGTGGGACAAAATAATAGCCAATTGGCAATTCCATTTAGTGTGATTCAAGCCAAACCCGTGTTTGTCTGCTAACTGACTTCATAAGCAGATGAATCAGCAGTTTATAATTACCTTATTAAAACTACACAATATCTTCTTTTAAAACAAAACACTGATTACAATAGATTTAGTATGGTAATGGGCACCAGACGATGGAGAATAGTCCCTTCAACAATATTTCAGTGTATCCTGAGTAGTGTGTGGTGCAACATAGTGTCTCTTAATCATAGGACAAGCTCCTCCACATATGAATCCATGTACAAATGATAATGTTAATATTAATCTATAATGATACAAGACTACTGTGTTAGAGATCTACCCATACACACCCTATACAAAATGGAAACAGACCTGACACATAAGCTTATTACTGTATCTGTCCTCACTGTCATGCTTCAATCAAATAGTACAACTCAAATGCATCATCCACTTAATTCTTTGGTCTTTTGAATACAACTATACATGTACCAAGTAGGGAAATGATTATCAGGGAGATGACACTCAACTTCTACAGTTAGCCAGTTTGTAAAGGAAAAGAAAAGGATCACTCCGGAGATATTTTGATGATAGAAATTGATAATTTGAAACAAATATATACGTTCTGGATGGACATGACTTATCACATATCCACATAATTGTATCCCCTAAACTGGGTCTGTATGTTGCACAAACTAATTGCTTTCTCCCGGTCTTGTCATATTTCAACCTCTGACTTTTCAATGCATTCTGATTGAAGCAAGACAATTGAACCAAATTTAAGCAAGCTTTACACTTCAAGGAGGATATTGCAAACTGAACACCGTTCATCTTTACATTTTCCCTGTAACCATGTACCAGTGTTATATTCTATCATGTGAGATAGACAATAGCACCTCAAAAATTGGCTTTGTTTATTTCTTAATTCTTGAAGAATGGTTTCATTGACATGCTTGGTGATTATGGTGAAACATGAGCATTAATGACAATAAATTACATATTAACTTACATTCTTAAAACTCATACCATGAGATCAATATGTCCTTTCACTTTATGCATCATATCTTTATTCCAAATAACAATGTCTTAGTTTGACCTTGGACATATTTCTTATTGTGCCACTTGCCTTAATTAAGTAACCACATTTACATACTTAAAAACTTGTATCACTGTTTAGCTGAATGAAGTATCACATACTACACTGCAATGGAAATCAGATAAACATAAACCAATGAATTTTCTTTTTCATTTTGCACAAAGCATATGAGTATTAAGAATTCCTGTGGTATAGCACAGGCTGGCAAGCTTGCACAAACAACAGGACATAAGCCTTTATAACATACTTATTGGCAAACCAGCAAGTTTCCAAAACATGAGATGCTTACTTTCTCATGAAAACACAACTAATTACTTATTTTATGTGAATATGCTTATATACAATCCAAGACTATGTTACTTATGAAAAGTTGAGTTCTTTATATTGAGAGAGAGTTTGTACCATTTGTCACAGTTTGATTACATCAACTGTGAAAATTTGAGATATTTTATAATGATGCTGGAGTAGGATTTGTCTACAATTAACTATAAGGGCCAGTATGACATAGAATTAGGTGGCAATAATAATTTATTTCATATTGACGTAAATATAAACCCAGAATGCTACAATCTGAAGTTAATATCATCAATGCACTGAACTGAACATTTCATGACACAGTGTCAGTAATGACACAATGAGCATTGGGTAGTAGGGTCATGCAATGACAGCTGTCACACACAAACATGAGTGTCAGTATCACTGCTAGGGAATGATGGTCTTGCAAGTCACCAACAAATACAAACAACAAACTGGCACAGCAGCTTCGCAACCATCCAGCAAAGTGCCTTTAACAAACTGACTGGCTTGTTTCAATTGTTTGACCAAAGAATCAATCTATGTGGAGCATTTATGTTACGTGGAGATTTCATTTTCCAAAGTGTGATGTTCTTGTACCTGGGCTACACAAAAGATAAATTCATTCCAAATGTCATCTGTATTATTCTGAAAACTATTACGTATTTTAATCAAATAATTTCATTTAATGCCCTACTATTTCATTCAGAATATATTTGTTACCAATATGTTGACAATATCAATGCCATTCAGAAAACAGCATTTCAATTTTTTCACTTTGGTCAAACAACAATAAGCATGAGTTACTAGGTTGTAAAAATATTTTTTTGTATTAAAATACATTTGTCCCATATACACTGTATGTACCTCAATATCAGTAGTAAGATAAATATATATTATCATGCATGTGGCGTATATACAAGGTGTATATATTATACTTCTACAAATATGAATACTACATGTCATACCATTCATGCATGACATTAAACATTTACATTACACCATATTCTTCAATTAAACTGAAAAACTCAGAATTTGATAACGCATATTTTTGATTAAAATCTACTGAAAGACTGTAAATATTTACATAGGTACATTACAGCAGGAAGTCTCCTCAAAGAATATCAATATGCAAAATATCCTTTGTGAAAACTCATCAAAGAAGATATGGTACTATAGCAACTGTATAAAAATATTTATTCCCCAGTAACTCATGCTATTGTGCTTTGCTCCCAGCTAGCTAACAGATCCCTGAGATCAGACTTACAGACATTTATGACAGTCGGTCTTCTTGTGAAGTGTCACAAGCACTTTGGATAGTAATGCCACTAAAGTGCACCTACATTTGGAACTTCTATTATTGTTGGTATTTACAGCTCCACAATAAAGCTGTAGCTTGGCTTCAATATTTGTAAATCCCTTTAAACACAAATGACTAACTACATGAAATGTCATGCAAATAGGACTACAAGCTTATATGTCATAAGATCTACAGCCCCACAAGTGCGCTCCAGTATATCTTGTTTTATTAGGATACTAGATACTAGGATACTAAACGAGACTTTCCATCATATCGATAGTTCTCAGAACAGTATTTTTTCGAAAATTTTTAGGAAGCATGAGGAAATTCAGTGTGTAGAAATTAAGAACAATTTCAGCAGTGTAACAATATATGGTAAATATCAATTTTTCAAGGACCAAATTTGTCAGTTGCCATGACCACCAGCAAACAAAGCATTTCATGCCTATCTCACGATTTCTGTCCCAACAATACAGTGACAGCAACACAGAATTTTTAAAGATGGATGCATCTCTAGAAATAATGCTAGAACTGCTTTAGCAAATTTGGTCATAAGATATTTTCTCATCTTGACAAGGACACTACGCAATACATGCTGAAATTATAATACAAATCAACACATCCTTAAATCTATAATAAACCAGTTTTATTTATTCTGCTTCCTATAAGAAATAAATATGATTCATTTCCCAATACCGTATTCTGAGACTCTGGCAGATATGTTTGAAATGGTTTATCCTTTACTTCCTACATTTGTACTTCCCTTCCCTCTTTTGTATGTGCTTTGAATGACAGTTACACTCATCATCACAAGAAGACCCACTGTCAGGTGTAACAAGCCCAAGAGAGACATCGAACATTGAGTCTCGTAACAAGTAACACAGAGGCGGCATGAAATTGCGGAATGAGCAGATTGATGCGGAACAGGATCTCTTCTTGATGCCACAAGACTTGACTGCACACTTCAAAACGTTTGTTCGTCGTCACAGTTTTCCGTCGAGTGGCCAAACACTGCAATGCAAAATGAGAGCAAACCTGGGTGGCTTCACAGGGCAGCATGAGAGCAAAATGAAAATAAAAACATTCAACTGCTTCAGACAGAATTTATTTTGTTTAAAGTTAAGATAAGAATCTCTTCTTGAACCTCAGAATTCCAATATGATTTCTTATATTCAGACATTATTATTTTGCTATATACTTTTAATGCAATATGTTCACTTTTAAAATGCACAAACATGACAATAATTTTTTGACAAACAAAAAAGCTCAGTCTCATTTATTATTCAGAAAATGAAAAAAAACCGAAATATTGATGCTTCTTAGTTATATGAAACAAGTTCACTCTATTACTTATTCAGACCTCAATAAAAATAATTAATGTAGTATAACAGTTATGATGCATTAATTTATTTTTTTTTAAATCAGAGTTTATGAAACTGGAACACTGTAGCGAATACATAAAATTAAATAAATGGCTCTCAAAGAACGTATGTTTTATTTACTTTAATGTTTAGATCCAGCATTTTATGAAACTGAAGCAGTTGAAAAGGGAATAACATTAATGTGCAATAAACATGTTAATCACTGATAACAGCATTGTGCTATCTACAAGGAAGTGAGAGAAATGCACTATGCACATAGCCACAAGGCAATCAATTGGCACAAATATAGGAGCACTAGGACTGTTGCATTAGTCTTGATATGAAAGGACAATGGTTAATAAGAAGACAACCCAAAGGTGTATGTCCGCATCATTAGGAGAATAAACATGAACATCATGCAGATGATTGTGAGAGATTGGAATGATTTCTATTTTTCTCCCATTGTTGGGTTGGTGTTTTTTATATAAGTTTTTGTCACATTTTTTACACTTGTGCAAACTATGTGATAGTTCATTTCTTAGCATTATTCAATGTATTTCAACCTACACATAACTACGTTTTACATACATATCATACAAGTGTTATTCTAGGTCGGACCCTTCACTGTGTCATCTCAAGTAATGGGTGAAAAATGCATTGGTGAATATCATTTGGCTGTGAACAGAAACAGAACTGGTTCTTGGCATGGATTTACAAAAATCAATCACTGCAGGCAGGGCCCGATTTTCTTGCAAAAGTTTGCTTTTTGGATTGAAAGTTACACTCTTTGTCCCGTTGAAGAAATAGCAGTGGCAAAGTATTTGTTGTTTGTATCTTTGCTTCTGCATCCTTGCTAGATGACCAAGAACATTTTTTTTCTTAATATCCTAATATATTTTCCCATATCAGCAACTGTATATTTAGTTTATTCTTGTCATAGAATATATACATATCACCGTTCACTTATCACATACTTCATTTTGAACCTCAAGGTGACCTTCTCAGTCACATTTTGAGGTCAAAAGCATTTTTTTGTGAAGAACATCCCTTAAAACAGCCACTCATTATGTGAATTGATTGACAATATTCTCAACATATCAGGTATGTCATCACAGACATACTAACACATAAAATCTCAGATTCCACAAAACCAAAGCACCTACCTTCACAGATATCACAGTAGGGGCGTGTTGACTTCCTATCGCCATGGTATTGCGTGGGTGGGGGACTCTCTGACATGGCCTGTTTGGGGCAGTCATCAGTGTCGTGGAGGTCAAACATATCGCAGATATCACAAAACAGACGAGGGGCTGATCGTGGACGGGATGGCCTGAGAGAAACAATCATACAATTTGGTAAACGGTTTATTTGTCATCTATTATGAGTACAGGTGACAATATTATTGCTAAATTTTAAACACTATGCTGATAATACTGTAAGAGTATTGGGACAGTATGAGCATGGCCACAATTTCCTTGCTTTATTTTTGAATTGATGTCAAAGCCTAACTTTTGCACACAGCTTGAGAGGAAGGAAATAAAGGGAGGTCACTCTGACTTTAGGCTGACATGAAGGTATTGATTGTCTGTACAAGATGTATGTACACATTATATTGCCAAATGTTTTGATTGTTTATATTTGTTGTCATATTTGTAATATTTGATCATTGAACATACAAATAGTAGATAAATGGTGTCAATTTCAAAAAGTGACATTAAAACTTGTCATTTCCCTACTGACAATTGCCATATATCAAGATGTCTACAAATCATTACCCCCTTCAAGTTGGTAGACAAACTTAAACGTATGTCCTGTTTAAGAGAGTGACTGAATCCTGTCTCAAAGCACGGCCAGCAATATTCCAACTATACCAAGTGTCAGATCACTGGAATATCAAATTGTAGATCAGAGGAAAGTCAAAATATCACATATCCAGAATTTGCATGTCACATCTGTCATGACAGATAATCTGTTATTCCCCTAATTGCCATGAGGCTGTTGAACTCACGAGATGTCCATGCCCTCTACAGCATCCCCATTATCATAGACCCCGGCCTCCATGGCCTGCAGGCGCAGCTTCATCTCCTCATTCTTCCTCTGCATGTCCACGATCACGGAGTTAAGGAATTCAATCTGAAACACAATGCATCACTGGCTGCCATCATCAGTACACCACACAATACTGTTACATCATTGGGATCAGAAAGACACTATTCAAAGGCTAACTGTCTGTCTGAAGCAACTCCTGATAATATTGTTCTATTTTGAAAAACAAATGAGGGAGTGAGTGAGCTAGTTGTAGGACACTTTGAGCAATATTCCAGCCCATATCATGGCATATGACACAAACAATGGGCTATACACATTGTACCGCTGGTGGGAATGAAACATTGCATCAATATAGTCCTATTTGAGATTAAAGATACAGTGAATCTGCCACAAGCACATTCTTCATTATAGTTAAACATATGCACCTACATCTGGGATGAAGCTATCGGAAAAACTCACCCGAGGTGTACATAAAAACTAGGTCTATGAGAGATGCAGACCACAGACTTTTAATGAGCGTAATTGGTACAAATCTTGGATTCAATGATCAGCTGATGATGGGAGGGATAAGGGACACAACTCTCAACAGGGAACTGCATCTTACACCAGGAATATTTAAGTGAGTAGTAACTTGACAACACACCTGTTTGTCAGATGCCTCCTTGTCTGACTGAAGTTGAGCCACCACAGGATCTCCTGCAACATTCAAAGTAACAATCTTAATCAAGGCTTCAGGTACAAAACAGTTGCACAGATAAAACAAAACCTATGCTGCTTGCCTTTTTAAAAAAAGTTTTTTTAACCTATAGACCTTTTCTGTTATCTATTGTTGAGGTAATTTTTCTGTTTGTGTACTTTTTTCACAAGTAGTGATCTTGACCTAAAGAGTACGAAGTCATGAGCCAGAGTGAGTGAGTTGGGTTTAACTCCGCTTTTAATAGTATTCCAGTTATATCACGGCATGTCAGCTTACAGTGGGAGGAAGGCCTGCAAGCAATATGGCCAAGGATTGGGTGAAAAGAGACTTGCACAAAGCACATGCTGAGGATATGGCCATTTTCATTTTTTTAACTGAAACATGTATTTTCGTGTAGCCAGGGACATATAGAACAAACTATTGATATGTTCACCAGTTTTGAAAGAGAAGAGTCTTAAGTGCAAATGGATGGATCGAAGGACAAACCAAAGGCTCATATTGACAATGTGAATGTATGCTAAATATTTTTTAATTGTATAATTCATCATAACAACCTAATTCATACATAACTCTCAAGAGCATTTTTTAAATAGAAGGCTATAATTCATAAGCACGGCATTTTCTTTCTATGGGTAAAGAGCCAATTTCTTATACCTAGAAGTAATTATAACTGAAGTGTTACAAGGACATCAAAATAACACCTTATTCACCTGACAACTGAAACTTTGTCATATACATCAAGCTAGCAAACAAATGACCAACTAATTACACTGAGACAATATCAAAATTTTACACACTATTTTAGCCATATCCCAGCAACTGATAAATACGACTCTGGGCCCCGCATTGTAAGGGTTGAATGACTCACGATCAGCCAGGTCACATATGTGAGCAACCTAATCAGCGTTTTAGTCAGCTTCAGCATTGGGTTCTTAAAACCATCTCTGACATCATATAATACTCTTGAAACAATTGAGCACCCTTGGTAGTTCCCCTCACCAGCAGTGTCACCGTTGTTGGTGTTGTTGGCGTTGTTCTTACTCTCCTTGACGGCGGCCTCCAGTGAGTGGATCTTGTCCAGAAGTTGGTTCCTCTCAGCCTCTCTCTCCTTCTCCAGACTCTGCAGTGAAGCCCTGTAGCCAGACAGAGACTGATTCTCAGTCTCAAGGTCGCCCACCTGGAACATTGCAACCAGGCTAACAGTTGTCATGGCAACCAGCAATATTCTATCTATCACTGCGATCCGTAAATAATTAAACGGGCCGGACAAACCAGTGGTTGATATCATGAGCAACATCCAAGTAAACTGTGGTATCATGACAAGCAATCAACCATGTCAGATACACACTTCTATGAAACTGGGTTACCCTTTTTGCACAAGCAGTGAAGTGCTTGGAACACTTCAATATAAGATCACCCGTGCCCCCTCTTTTGTGTGGAAACACTTCAATATTTGACCTCCTGTGCCAGCTGTTTTGTGTGGAAACACTTTAATATTGGACCACTCATGCACCCTCTTGTGTGTGGAAACACTTCAATATTAGACAACCTGTGCCCTGTCTTTTAAGTGGGAACCCTTCATTACTGGACCACTTATGGACCCTCTTTTATGGGGAAACCTGCTGAAGACCTATTCTACCCCGGATCTTCACGTTTTTCTTTCGTGTGGAAACACTTTAACATTCGACCTCCTGTGCCCCCTCGTTTGTGTGGAAACACCTCAACATCTTTTTTTTTCCGCTTATTGTTAAACACCACAAACAGCAATATTACAGATATATGACGGTGGAGTATAAATAACAGAATATGGACAAAACAATCCTGGGATTGAAACCATAAGCATCAATCTCTACAATTGGGATACAATGACATGAATAAACCAAGTCAGCGTGCCTGACCACCCGATCCCGTTAGTCACCTCATCTGACAAGTATCCGTTGCAGAAAAACAATTCTAACCTGATCTTCACGGCGTTAGGCAAATTGATAGCAGAAGCAATGCTGGAAATAGTTAGAACACTGTCACACAATCAACTCGATCACACAGTTTTGCAACACATACATGGAGGCCCCAGACTTGGCCAAGACACACAAAGGTCTGTCACCCACCTTTTTCTTGTAGGATTCCAGCTGGGACTGGTGGTGGGTGAGATCCTTGGCAGAGTTGTCTACCTTGGACTGCAGCTCTGCTTTGGCAGACTCCAAGGAGGCTTTGTCTTCACTAAATCTGAAATCACAGATCAATGGATCGTAACTTAGTTTGAATGTTGGCTTTATTGAAGCATGTATGTAGCACAGCTACTTGTGAAAGAGTTGGACTTAATGCTGCTTTGAACAAACAAGTAAGCATGTATCACTGTCAGATTATGTGGGATGAAAGATACAAGTGATGCAGGTCTTAGATGTTCACCAACTTGGTGGAGCTCATGAGCATGGGTATGGTGCTGACAAACCTAGAAACATAATCACTGGGATTTCAAGACACAATCAAAGGTTTTAGGAACACCCGAGGGATGCAACTGTCCACAGAGAATTGTAGCACCTTAGATGACTGGTTCACCTGCGGCCCCCATCAAAAGTATAATCAGGGAATATTTGGGATCCGAAAATCTGGTGCGCCTATGGGACTATAAGACCTTTTAAAAACGATCTGGATAAAACTTTCATGTAAAACTTAGCAATGAGATCACATGCACAACGTATTTAGAACTTACAAATATCTCATGTCGTAATATTTTTCAGGAATCCAATGTTATATAGACAAGACAACATACTGATACACTATACATACTGAACCAAGAACAAACAATGAACAATAAAGATACACAACTTAAGTCCTACATATTTCCTACAAACATTCATGCTGCAGAAACACAGACAGAAGCATGATATATGAGCAAGCTACATTATAATATGACGGGATGACTATATTTATTTGTATCAATGGGCAAGAGTATGAGCAATGCAAGTAACATGAAGGCCAGCATATTTATTGTCTAACTATGTTGTTGAACACAATATTCAAGGTATATCATGTCAACCTGTAAATAATCTAGACAAGAAGAGACGAACCAACGACGGATATAACAACCAATATCTCATGCTGTACAATGACACACAAATCAACTAAATCACCAAGAGTGACTACCCGGTCCATGTTGCTGCTTTTTAAAAGCATATCGGTCCGGAACTGGGACTTATTCCGACCCCGAATTCCTTTCGGGGAAGATACACAGATCCTTCAAAGACTTACCCGGTACTTGTTGGGCCAATACACTTCAATAAGCGCAGGCGAGTGAACATTGTTCTACAACACAGTCTGTAACTATATACCAGTCAGGTGTGTATGATCAAGTCAGATCAGGGCCATTGGGGCACAACCATGACAGACACTCAGGTCACACATTGTAGTCCCTCGTTGATCCTCATTAAAGTCAACACTTCTGATAAGCATGAGGTATGTGGGACCCTATTGGACAAGAAATCCCGGTGTAAATACAGCATTATGCTGTAGTCAGCTACTAAAGTGGAACTCTGTTAGTCTGAAACCCCACCCTTCAGGCAGCTACTGTTGGGGTAATCTAAAAATACACAAAGGGTTTTCTAGCCAATATTTGTTTACTTGGAAATTTGTTGATCTGGATTCTCTGAAAATTTGTTAGAACTATATATCTTGTGAAACAAATCTTGGGTATGGAGTATTATCTCGTTGTTAATTTGCTCCTTGTCCCAACATGTATTCTCCAGACACTGCAGCCATTGTGGCCGAGTGATCCCCATCTGTGTCAGCGCTGGACAAGCATGAGTTCTGCCACTATCCTTCCCAAGCATTCACTGTCTCATATTGATCATTAAGTAAAGAAAGAAATCCCACAACCAAGAACCTAATGCTTTCTACTTGTGGTATGTTTGATACCAGTGGGTGTCGAAGATTTAGGACAAAAGTAAGTATGCAGTGTTGATATATAATATGTTAATATGTTTCTACAAGCATAACATAGGAATACATTGATATTTGACTAGAAAAATATGATATGATTTGTTAGTTGATTAACGCTGCACTCAGCAATATTCCATATATATGAAGGCAGTCTGTAAATAATAAAGTATTGAGCAGACAATCCAGTGACATCATGAGCATCAGTATACGCAATTGGGATACGATGATATGCATCAAGAGGATTACTATGAATAAAGATCTATGTGGCAACGATTACACACAATCAGTCAGGTCACACATTGTAACCACCCAATCCTCAGTAATCAGTGTTTGTGACAAGATGATCTGGGGACCTATGATACACTTGGAATCCTCACACTGTCTTGAAGCAGCACCAGGAGTACAACGATGGATCAAACCACCAGAAGACTTCAACTTCTCATCCCTATCTGGCATCATGCTGATGACAACTTCAGAGTGAGTGAGTGATTATGGTTTTACGCCGCTTTTAGCAATATTCCAACAATATCCCGACAGGGGACACCAGAAATAGGCTTCACACTTTGTACCCATGCATGTGGGGAACCAGGTCTTCAGTGTGACGAGCGAACGCTTTAACCACCCCACCACCTGACAAGTTAAGACATGATTAGTAGACACTAATACTGTGTTAGACCTTCCATAGTATCGGTAGGGTATGGATAACGCTTCTTGGGCCAGTATATCAGTTATATTACAGCATGGCGGCTTGTGGGAGGTCGCCTGCAGTGATACAGGTCCTTAGTATCAACACAAGAAATGAAATGAGAACATACAGATATTCAATCTCTGTAATGATGACACATGGGCATCCATTCAGCACATGGAAATACATCTATGTGAGAATACAATCAGAAATACGTCCCTGCAGTCTCTACCATGATGAATCTCTGTGGCCAAATACAGAGCCCACGAAGCAGGGCCTGTCAAATAACAGGAAGAAACTGCAGTGTGGAAAGATGAAAGTACACCCTTTTGCAGTAGTGGTACAAGTATTGTGATACAACATCATTTTCAATGGTCACCCACAGTAAACATATATAGTCTTCCTAATTCTGTGTGCCTTTGTCCTGGTAATGAAGACAGTGAGTGAACGCTTCTGTCAGCAGGCACCAGAAGTCCAGCTACATCATGGTGGCCTGTGGGTACTCAGGTCCAGGCCAAGCAAACAAGTGGTTGATAGCATGACCAACAACCCACAAGGTCAGAGTAAGATGACACACTTTGTAGGAGTCTGATACTAATTTAGTTGGGGAACTACCATCCTGGAATCTCCACTGGCAATGCTTGGAACTCTTGATACAGGGTAAACCCATTGTCAAGTTTCATGATAATGTAAAATGTGGAAAAGTATTGTAACATTACAAACATATTGATAAGGCTAAAAAAAAAATAGTCTTGGTTCTCAAGCACCGCCCACATCACCATAAAGTCTGCCACATGTTTTTTATTTATTACCATTTTAAAAAAAATATTAAAAAATCCTAACATCGGTACTTAAACACAATGCGATCCAATATAATATGCAGTTACTTCCCTTTACATGCGCACTGCTTATGGTAATGGTGTCAATAGGCGTTTGTATGCTTGTTTATGTAGAGAAGCCCTGTCCCAGGTTGATGTTACACAACTGTTTATTTGGTTACATACTAGTTTGAACAAGCAAAAGAAAAACAAAAACACCGTCCGCCCACCCACCCGCACTATATTTTAAAAGTCATTGCCTGAGAACCAATGCTTTCTTTTTAATCATAAAACAGATGATGAAAATATGAACCAATGTGAACCACCACCCAATGTTGCAAGTGCTTTACATGTTTCACGTCACATAAAATGGTTGGCCCCTAAAAGGGATTAGTTTAAAGCAAGTACAATAAACTACAACAGCAAGTTGATACTAAAAGAGGAAGCATCTCTATGAAGTATAAACAGCATGCACCATTCTAAACGTTAGTCATTTTCTTACCATGAACAGACAAATGTAGTTTAGTCCACAAGGAACACAGCAATCAGAAACAGGACATGTGTTAGACACAATCATCTTACAATATGCCAATTTCATATATTAGATTCTCATTCATAATTTCTGATTGTATGATGAGTGCCACTGATGTTGTAAATGAGGGATTGACTTGACATACTGTATTGTCTAACAGATAAACTGATCAGACACGCATTGCCAAACTTACATTGTCGTCTCAAGCATTAGTGAGTGAGTCAGTCAGTCTTAACACCACTTTGAAACATTTTTCAGTTATGTGCCGGCGGTTGTGTCAGCATAGTGTTGGATACAAGCCAAAGTGACACATTTACCACTTTAGGCTGACAATGGATCATATCGCAGCAAGTCTAGGATTTGATCCCATGTACATCGGATCCTGGCAGGACGAGGGGATGCACAGTCTTGTTGTTTGTTTGTTTGTTTGTTGTTTAACGCCACATTCAGCAATATTCCAGCTTTATGACGGTGGTCTGTAAATAATTGAGTCTGTATCAGTCAATCCAGTGATTGACAACATGAGCATCGATCCATGCAATTGGGATACAACGACATGCATCAACCAAGTCAGCAAGCCTGACCACTCGATCCCGTAAATCGCCTCTTGCGACAAGCCCAGTCGCCTTTTATTATAACAATTAAAACTAACATATTGACGGGTTAATGTACCTCTTCTTGGAGGGCAGACATTAAATCTTATGTGAAGGTTTTCGGAATAGCGTCAGAGCATTATACATATTTCATAAAAAGATATAAATGAGTTCGAAAACGACATTCTGCAAAGCAAATGGTTTTCCTTGTGATGGTCAAGATGAAAGTGTAATAAATGAGGTTACTGAACGTTCCTTGTTCTTCTATATACTACTCCAACTTGCTGAAGAAATTAACTGAAGACAATACTCCGGTCATTATCCTAAACAGTGATAGAGTTTTGACAATCCTAAGATGATAGACACAGTGGCTTGTATTGCTTCAACGATACTCCAATTTGTACAATGGTCTTCTGTGAAACGGTACACTATGCGCATAAAGCTGCTTTAAATCATCACATCCTCATCAAAAGCTGAGCAGGAAAGTTGTTTCCAAATAAATCTGATCTGATCTACCAGTAACTTCAGGAGGTTACTTTAGATGCAGTGAAAACATAATTTCATTTTACCTAACACAGACAAAGCAAGAATGTTAACACAAGTGAGCATATGAGGCCACACTTTCATAACACAGTATGTCACAATGAACATGATTAGAAGACTTGAGACAGCAAGCTGTGGACACTTCACATTGGAACGTTAGTCCTGTATGGAGATATTAGTGACATTAATCAGCACAGATAAATGAAATCTGAAACTACATCTGCATCAGTAGATACATCTGAACTAAAACACATAGCACGATCCCTTGTTTTGAAATTACTGACAGTCGACACCCACCTTTTGCGGTTTTCTTCCATCTCCGATTGAAGCTTTTTGGTTTGTTCTTCAAGCTGAAAGTACAACTTGCATGTTTGATCAGTCTAATTCAACCATACTAAAACATCATGAACAGTGTTTCTAGTTCTAGCAACATCTCCACAGATGCATCGTATACATCAACCAATTGACTGTTTCAGTGGCAACAAAAAATGTGAATTAAAATATACAATTCTTTGAGGACTTAATGCACAAAATGGACACTTGTAATTGTGTTAGAAGCACAGTCACATCACAAATTTGCTATAAACAATTGTATAATAAAATCTTAATTATTTCCAAAGGAATGTTGTCAGCATTATGCGTTCCTGGTTCTACATTTGAGTTGTATGAGTACAACACATGAGTTTCCACCATCAACCTGTACCTCAGAGACACGCAAGTCTGTGTATGGCTGTAGTCTAACACCAGTCAGCAGTATCTCAGCTACAGGGAACCAGTGACTGAATGAATGAGCAGCCTACCATCGAGTTACAATCATATGACATTAGCAAAGACTCTGAGTCTGATCACCTTAGTTGCCTCTTACTATTTTGTTTGTTGTTTATACATAGGTGGCCTGTAAATAACCCAGTCCATACCAGACAATGCTGTGAGTGATATTATGAGTAACGATCCACGCCTCTTAAAACCAGCAGAGACTGATGGGGACCTATTCTGACCTGGACTCCCACGACAAGCACTTGAGTGCCAGCACCTGGTCTAACCCAGAACAGTCTCTACCTTTTTTCGCTCCTCCTTGACTAGTTGAGACTGCTCCAGCTCGGCCGTCATCTTCAGCTTGACAGCCTCTGCCTCCTTCAAGCTGGCTTGGACTTCCGTCAGATGACGCTTTGTGTCCTCCCTGCGTACATCAGGGAAGCGGTCAGGTCTATTGTTATGGTGAGTTGGCTTGATCGCTACTTCGGTCAGTATTTCAGTTGTTTAACAGTATGTCAGTATTTCAGATACATATACATCAACTTGAGGGTAATCTGTGGATTATCTTTAGAAGCACCCTCTATGAAGACCCAAAACTTACATGACAGTCTGTATTAAAGTATATACTCCGAAATGTTGTGTTCCTAATATAAAGAAGTTGACATCCATAAATTCCCTACCTGATGTTACAGATAGTTTAACAAAAACAGGAAACACAGAAGTGGTAGATCAGTGCCGAGTAACTATTATTTAAAAACTACTGCTTGATCTCAGGAAAACAGCTCATTGTCTTTAACTTTTCTAAGTTTCAAGAGTGCTTGTTTGGGTATGTGGTATCAATATTCAGCAGCCATTGCGATCACCTGATCCCATATTTCTAGCTGGAAGGTAACACATGGTGAGCATGGATGCTAAAACACAAAGAATAGGAGAGAATGCTACAGAGATATCACACATAGTCAGCTGCAAAGGCATTCTAAGTTAGCACAACATGACTAGCTTTATACAGGACTGGTGAGCAGCCCAATCACAGACTCCTCAGGATACTCACAAATCTTTACTGAGAACTTGGCTGTCTGACTCAGTTTGTGATTTCTGCATTAAAACTTCTTGCTGTGAGGCTGCTTCTGATTTTAATTTCTCCACCTGAAGTGAAATAGAACCTGCCTGAGGACGTAATAGTCTACACAAACAATTATTTTAAAATCAGATCGGGATTCTTTACTACTTTCTTCTTTGAGTCACCGTTGCTGAGATTGTCCATGACAGACAGATATTTGACAGCTAAAAAGCCAGCAGCGAAATCCACTAAAGTGCCAGTCAGGTAATACACAGCTAAAAAAGGTCATCACTCACCTCCTTCTTATACTCCTCTATCTGCATGTCCTTCTTCTGTATATCTGCTTTGGTTGTCATGGCATCCTGTTGAAGTTGGTTACGCTCAGAGGTAACCTTCTCTTTTTCCGCTTGCACATCTTCACATTGCTTTTGTAGCTGTGCACAGAAAGGGCCATGTCATGATGGATTCCTGTATTACGTATAGCTTTAATGTGTAGCCTTTCCATAGAAATATGTCATCATCCATTTGTGCTTTCAGACAAGTGAAGACGTATGATTTAACGCCGCTTTTAGCAATATTCCAGCAATATCATTGCGGTGGACACCGGAAAATGGGCTTCACACATAATACATATGTGGCAAATTGAACCCGCTTCAACCACTAGGCTACCCCACCGCCCCACTTTAGAACTAATATTGGCAGTATTTCAATGGCTTTGGATTGCCAGACTGACATGCTAAGTGTATAGGCTACAATGCAGCTGCCCTATCTCTACCACCTCTACTCAGTACAGTAGCCTCACCTCCTGCCTGGCCTTCAGTGCTGTATCTCTACCACCTCTACTCAGTACAGTAGCCTCAGCTCCTGCCTGGCCTTTAGTGCCCTATCTCTACCACCTCTACTCAGTACAGTAGCCTCACCTCCTGCTTGGCCTTCAGTGCCCTATCTCTACCACCTCTACTCAGTACAGTAGCCTCACATCCTGCCTGGCCTTCAGTGCTGTATCTCTACCACCTCTACTCAGTACAGTAGCCTCACCTCCTGCCTGGCCTTTAGTGCCCTATCTCTACCACCTCTACTCAGTACAGTAGCCTCACCTCCTGCTTGGCCTTCAGTGCTGTATCTCTACCACCTCTACTCAGTACAGTAGCCTCACCTCCTGCTTGGCCTTCAGTGCTGTATCTCTACCACCTCTACTCAGTACAGTAGCCTCACCTCCTGCTTGGCCTTCAGTGCTGTATCTCTACCACCTCTACTCAGTACAGTAGCCTCACCTCCTGCCTGGCCTTCAGTGCTGTATCTCTACCACCTCTACTCAGTACAGTAGCCTCACCTCCTGCTTGGCCTTCAGTGCTGTATCTCTACCACCTCTACTCAGTACAGTAGCCTCACCTCCTGCTTGGCCTTAAGTGATGTATCTCTACCACCTCTACTCAGTACAGTAGCCTCACCTCCTGCTTGGCCTTCAGTGCTGTATCTCTACCACCTCTACTCAGTACAGTAGCCTCACCTCCTGCCTGGCCTTTAGTGCCCTATCTCTACCACCTCTACTCAGTACAGTAGCCTCACCTCCTGCTTGGCCTTCAGTGCTGTATCTCTACCACCTCTACTCAGTACAGTAGCCTCACCTCCTGCTTGGCCTTCAGTGCTGTATCTCTACCACCTCTACTCAGTACAGTAGCCTCACCTCCTGCTTGGCCTTCAGTGCTGTATCTCTACCACCTCTACTCAGTACAGTAGCCTCACCTCCTGCCTGGCCTTCAGTGCTGTATCTCTACCACCTCTACTCAGTACAGTAGCCTCAGCTCCTGCCTGGCCTTTAGTGCCCTATCTCTACCACCTCTACTCAGTACAGTAGCCTCACCTCCTGCTTGGCCTTCAGTGCCCTATCTCTACCACCTCTACTCAGTACAGTAGCCTCACATCCTGCCTGGCCTTCAGTGCTGTATCTCTACCACCTCTACTCAGTACAGTAGCCTCACCTCCTGCCTGGCCTTTAGTGCCCTATCTCTACCACCTCTACTCAGTACAGTAGCCTCACCTCCTGCTTGGCCTTCAGTGCTGTATCTCTACCACCTCTACTCAGTACAGTAGCCTCACCTCCTGCTTGGCCTTCAGTGCTGTATCTCTACCACCTCTACTCAGTACAGTAGCCTCACCTCCTGCTTGGCCTTCAGTGCTGTATCTCTACCACCTCTACTCAGTACAGTAGCCTCACCTCCTGCCTGGCCTTCAGTGCTGTATCTCTACCACCTCTACTCAGTACAGTAGCCTCACCTCCTGCTTGGCCTTCAGTGCTGTATCTCTACCACCTCTACTCAGTACAGTAGCCTCACCTCCTGCTTGGCCTTCAGTGCTGTATCTCTACCACCTCTACTCAGTACAGTAGCCTCACCTCCTGCCTGGCCTTCAGTGCTGTATCTCTACCACCTCTACTCAGTACAGTAGCCTCAGCTCCTGCCTGGCCTTTAGTGCCCTATCTCTACCACCTCTACTCAGTACAGTAGCCTCACCTCCTGCTTGGCCTTCAGTGCCCTATCTCTACCACCTCTACTCAGTACAGTAGCCTCACATCCTGCCTGGCCTTCAGTGCTGTATCTCTACCACCTCTACTCAGTACAGTAGCCTCACCTCCTGCCTGGCCTTTAGTGCCCTATCTCTACCACCTCTACTCAGTACAGTAGCCTCACCTCCTGCTTGGCCTTCAGTGCTGTATCTCTACCACCTCTACTCAGTACAGTAGCCTCACCTCCTGCTTGGCCTTCAGTGCTGTATCTCTACCACCTCTACTCAGTACAGTAGCCTCACCTCCTGCTTGGCCTTCAGTGCTGTATCTCTACCACCTCTACTCAGTACAGTAGCCTCACCTCCTGCCTGGCCTTCAGTGCTGTATCTCTACCACCTCTACTCAGTACAGTAGCCTCACCTCCTGCTTGGCCTTCAGTGCTGTATCTCTACCACCTCTACTCAGTACAGTAGCCTCACCTCCTGCTTGGCCTTCAGTGATGTATCTCTACCACCTCTACTCAGTACAGTAGCCTCACCTCCTGCTTGGCCTTCAGTGCTGTATCTCTACCACCTCTACTCAGTACAGTAGCCTCACCTCCTGCTTGGCCTTCAGTGATGTATCTCTACCACCTCTACTCAGTACAGTAGCCTCACCTCCTGCTTGGCCTTCAGTGCTGTATCTCTACCACCTCTACTCAGTACAGTAGCCTCACCTCCTGCCTGGCCTTTAGTGCCCTATCTCTACCACCTCTACTCAGTACAGTAGCCTCACCTCCTGCTTGGCCTTCAGTGCTGTATCTCTACCACCTCTACTCAGTACAGTAGCCTCACCTCCTGCTTGGCCTTCAGTGCTGTATCTCTACCACCTCTACTCAGTACAGTAGCCTCACCTCCTGCTTGGCCTTCAGTGCTGTATCTCTACCACCTCTACTCAGTACAGTAGCCTCACCTCCTGCCTGGCCTTCAGTGCTGTATCTCTACCACCTCTACTCAGTACAGTAGCCTCACCTCCTGCTTGGCCTTCAGTGCTGTATCTCTACCACCTCTACTCAGTACAGTAGCCTCACCTCCTGCTTGGCCTTCAGTGCTGTATCTCTACCACCTCTACTCAGTACAGTAGCCTCACCTCCTGCTTGGCCTTCAGTGCTGTATCTCTACCACCTCTACTCAGTACAGTAGCCTCACCTCCTGCCTGGCCTTCAGTGCTGTATCTCTACCACCTCTACTCAGTACAGTAGCCTCACCTCCTGCTTGGCCTTCAGTGCTGTATCTCTACCACCTCTACTCAGTACAGTAGCCTCACCTCCTGCCTGGCCTTCAGTACCCTATCTCTACCACCTCTACTCAGTACAGTAGCCTCACCTCCTGCTTGGCCTTCAGTGCTGTATCTCTACCACCTCTACTCAGTACAGTAGCCTCACCTCCTGCCTGGCCTTCAGTGCCCTATCTCTACCACCTCTACTCAGTACAGTAGCCTCACCTCCTGCCTGGCCTTCAGTGATGTATCTCTACCACCTCTACTCAGTACAGTAGCCTCACCTCCTGCCTGGCCTTCAGTGCTGTATCTCTACCACCTCTACTCAGTACAGTAGCCTCACCTCCTGCCTGGCCTTCAGTGCCCTCTCCCGCTCTTCCTTGGCCACCTGAATCTCTTCCTCCATGCCCTGTTTAGCTGTGGAGCTTTTCTGAGTCTCTGCCTGTAGTTTAGACAGTTCAACTCTGCACTGAATTAACTCGGTGTTGATAGCATCTTTGTCACTCTCAAGACGTTTTAGATTTTTTTCAGCCTTCTCCTTCTCAAACTGAAACAGATGAGGATAGAAAACAGACACATGATATGCAAGTGTAGGAACATTTTACAACAAACACTCTCTATTCTAACAGTCTTTTCACTGAATTCCTGTTTTATACTGAAATCAATGCATGAGAGCTTGTAAAGGTTTTTTCTTGAAAAACCTACGAGCAACCATGCAAAATCTAAATTACTTCCACAGTCTTATTTGAATCCTCAGCTATACTTCAATGTTTCATTCCATGGTTACCAATTTACCTTCAAGGCCTCAACTGCTACTTATTTTCATTGTTTCCATGGTAACTGCAAGTACTATCATAGTTTCAACTGCTACCTACTTTCATTGTTTCCATAGTCACAGTACTTACTTTCATGGCCTCTCTCTCCAAGGTGATCTGATCCAGGACCTGTTTGTGGGCCTGTGTCTGTAGTTCTTGTTTCTCCAGTTCTTTGGCATTGGCACTTAATTGTTTCCTAAGGTCAGTAATTTCCACGTCCTTTGTCCGTTCTAATTCTACTCTATCTTTTTCAAAATCTTCTGTTAATTTTCCTATTTTAGTTTTAGTTCTATCTAGTTCAGTTTGCTGAAATAAGGAATTGTTAAAGATTAAAATATGACATGGTAAAATTCAGCATTATTTGTTGTAAAAATGATTTTGTTGCAGATATGAAAGAATTACCATCAAATTCATGGTCAAGAATTTAAGCAACACAGATCTTTATATGAATCTTAAATCCAATGATCAACCCTGAAAGTTCAAACCAAATGTTCTCCATACTGACTTGCTAGGCCCAACCACGCGAATTCAAGTTCTTCACTATGACCACATCACCACTACACATTTAACCACATCTAACCCTCCCTACCCCCACCCCCCACCATCACATCTAGCCCCAACCCTGATCACATCTAGCCCCAACCCTGATCACATCTAGCCCCAACCCTGTCCACATCAAGCCCCAACCCTGACCACATCTAGCCCCAACCCTGATCACATCTAGCCCCAACCCTGACCACATCTAGCCCCAACCCTGTCCACATCAAGCCCCAACCCTGTCCACATCAAGCCCCAACCCTGTCCACATCTAGCCCCAACCCTGTCCACATCTAGCCCCAACCCTGTCCACATCTAGCCCCAACCCTGACCACATCTAGCCCCAACCCGGATCACCTCTAGTCCCACCCCTGACCACATCAAGCCCCAACCCTGCCTCATCTAGCCCCAACCCTGACCACATCTAGCCCCAACCCTGACCACATCTAGCCCCAACCCTGTCCACATCTATCCCCAACCCTGACCACATTAAGCCCCAACCCTGACCCCATCTAGCCCAAACCCTGTCCACATCTAGCCCCAACCCTGATCACATCAAGCCCCAACCCTGATCACATCAAGCCCCAACCCTGACCACATCAAGCCCCAACCCTGACCACATCTAGCCCCAACCCTGACCACATCTAGCCCCAACCCTGATCACATCTAGTCCCAACTCTGATCACATCTAGCCCCAACCCTGACCACATCAAGCCCCAACCCTGATCACATCTAGCCCCAACCCTGACCACATCAAGCCCCAACCCTGACCACATCTAGCCCCAACCCTGACCACATCTTGCCCCAACCCTGATCACATCTAGTCCCAACTCTGACCACATCTAGCCCAAACCCTGACCACATCTAGCCCCAACCCTGACCACATCTAGTCCCACCCCTGACCACATCTAGCCCCAACCCTGTCCACATCTAGCCCCAATCTCAGCACATCTAGCCCCACCCAGCCCCACTCCTCACACATCTCGCCCAACCCATTACACATCTAGCCCCGCCCCTCACACATCTAGCCCTGCCCCTCACATCTCGCCCCACCCCTCACACATTTTGCCCAACCCGTCACACATCTAGCCCCACCCCTCACACATGTAGCCCCACCCCCCACACATCTCGCCCAACCTGTCACACATCTAGCCCCACCCCTCCCACCTAGCCTCCATCCTCACACATCTAGCTCCACCCCTCACCCACCTAACCTCCACCCCTCACACATCTAGCCCCACCCCTCACACATGTAGCCCCACCCCTCACACATCTAGCCCAACCTGTCACACATCTAGCCCCACCCCTCCCACCTAGCCTCCATCCCTCACACATCTAGCTCCACCCCTCCCACACCTAGCCTCCACCCCTCACACATCTAGCCCCACCCCTCCCACACCTAGCCTCCACCCCTCACACATCTAGCCCCACCCCTCCCACATCTCGCCCCAAGTCTTACCACATCCTCCAATGTTCCCTGTAGCACCTTCACATCATCTCTACTTTTATTTACAATACCCTCCTTCTCCTTCTCTTGGTCTGCCTTTAATTGTTCTATTGTTTCATTAAGGATTGCAAGCTTTTGTGTAGAACTGGACAAGTCGTTTTGTAGATCCACGATTTTTCTGAAAATCGAAAACATGTGCACTCTGTTATTGACCTTAAATACAGCATACAGAAATTGACTGCAAGTCTGAAATCAGAATACACCATCAACATTACAACATATTTCACAAAACATTCAAAAATCTTCATGTCAACACTATTCCACCTAACAACAAAAACAATAAACTTGACATTATTAAAACACATTAATTCATAGGAAAAAAACATTGAACAAAACAAATCTTTCTTCCTTTGTGAAAGGCTAACATGCATTCCTAATACATGTAATGACACACTGCTGAACTTGACACCACTTAATAAAAAAAGAAGGATAAATACAAATTCTTGATCAAATTAATTAATATTTTTCACACATTATATATTTTGCTGCTCAACTAAAAGAAACAAGGTGATTGTAACCATGTGACTTCTAACCTAGGATAAATCAGCATGTCTCCTCCTTATCTTCAATGCATTTCAAATGTCACATCCACAGAGGCATAATGCACTGTCTACTTCTACTAGCAAGGCACATGTCTCAATCTCCACATAGCCTGTCAATCCAACACTACAAGAAGATACAGTTCTAGGACCTAGGCTCAAACTCCATACATAATCCCAAACTGCATTCTTTAATCATATTCCCAAACAATTACATATCAAAGAAAGCTGTCACTACAATCTGATGATGTCATCATATAAATATCCTTGTAACATGTTCACAAACACAAGATGATCATTCACATGAAATATGAAACAATCACAAGTATCAATAAGGCAATCAGACACATGGATCAAACACCACTCACGATCGCTCCTTCCATCTCAAATTACCCAAAATATGGGTCTGTCATGAGGGAAAAAAACATGTTTCTTAACATATTACAATTCAAACTACGGCATGGAGAACTGAAACCTGGGTGTATGGAAAGGCAAGTCTGCTAGAAATCGTCCGCGAATTATCAAAAAATACAGACAAGGGACAAAAAAACACTGTCCTACTTACAGAGATTCCCTACAGACGAGAAAAGGACAGCTCTGACAGAATCGGATCTAATCGAGGCCCGACCATCATGAGCTACTGCTAATATGTAGATGTGTTCGCAAGCGTTCACCGCAAGACAAAATCAATACTCACCTCCCAAAGCAAGCTGTGATGGTCGCCCTTTTCACTCAATTATTATAAAGTATGAAGATCTTTGAGAATTCATTTCAAAAAGTTATTTCTGATGTACTAGAAATATATTCCAATTTGAGCCCAAGCCCTATATCCTTTCTCAGTTCCAGTAATGGTTGTACACCACTTTCCACAACATGCCAGCTATAATACAGAGTGGGCTTTGCATATAGTACCCATGTGGGGAATGGAACCAGGTTGCAAGCATGATGAGCAACGGCTCAAATCATAGTCTCTCTCTATAATTTGAAGAGATCAGGTACTGTACATTATTAAGAGTGACCAACAGACTTTGAAAAGCATTCTCTGAATCACAATTATACTCCATCTCAGCAATCAATGTTTCATCATTGTTAAAGGCAACTTGTGTAAAGGCACATGATTTCCAAAAACAAACATTGTTACAGTACAAGCAATTTTGATGCCAAGTTCATTTATTGGCATAAAAGATAACAAGAACCGAATTCATATTATGGATCTTTGGCATTTGGTGTTTTCAATACATGTATCTCAAAATGTCACACTCTAAATATTGTTTTGTTTCGTTTGTTTGTTTGTTGTTTAACGCCACACTCAGCAATATTCAAGCTGATGGCGGTCAGTAAATAATTGTGTCTGGACCAGACAATCCAGTGATTGATATCATGAGCATCGATCCACACAATTGGGATACGATGACATGCATCAACCAAGTCAGCAAGCCTTGACCACCTGATCCTGTTAGTTGCCTTTTACAACAAGCATAGTCGCCTTTTTTCGGCAAGTATGGGTTGCTGAAGTCCTAACTACCCCTTATCTTCACGGGTCACTAAATATTGTCTGCAACATCCACTACACTGCCACATCACATGACAGTGGCATAATTAAACACATCTATCTTCACTTACCAAAACAACAATAGACTCGTCCTTTTCTGTTTGCCATATAATTTAATCAGCCAAAAGCAGTTGAAAGAAGACAAGGCCATTTAGCATTAAAGGCCATTTAACTATTAAAAATCCTTTTTGTCAGCTAACCCAAATTTTGTTATGTTCATTTAAATCTTGTAGTTTGTGATTACCCACAACCTGTCAGTAACACAACTGGCATTAATTACATTAACACCAAGGCTAGAAATGGAATACAAAAAACAAAAAACAGCAGATGCTTTGAGAAGTATTTGTTTTCACTATGAATACTGAAATCATTTGAAAGAATTCCTCAAGATATTATGATAATGAACCAACTTGACAAATAATATTCAGTTTGTTTGTTGGCTGTAATTTACTACATTAGTTGCGACATTAACCCCTCTTTGTTGTGATGTCCTAGATAACAGCAAAGCTGTCTTCAAAACAATGCCTAAAATAATTCCTCATTAACTGGAGCTGTATAAGGCCCTGTGGTATACAGATTTATTGATTATAGTCTGTCCCGGTGGTGGCTTGATAATAATGTCAATTTGCCTGTAATATCACACGGTCATATTTCTCCTGCCCTGATCAGGACAAATATTATTAAAATCACAGAGAGAAACCTTGAGAAATATTGTACCATTCCTTCTTTAAACAAATATAGTTTTCTTACTACATTTAGTATGCTCAACAGTGAAATAGCATAAACATGTTGTTCACAAGTTCAAGTAGTTTATGTCGTCTGGACCAAACTGACCAAGCTGAAGAAATCTCTTCTTGAATGTAATACATGTATTACATGCTTGTAAACTATATCAAAAGTGAAACCATAATAATTTATTAAAACAAACTAAAGACAAATGGATTTTGATTTAACATGATTTCTGAAATTCTATGAATAAAAAGAGATTTCTTTTGGGTGTAATCTACACCAATAATTCACTAAAGATAATGAAATACCATAAACTAGCACATGAACAGCACTAATAAAATCTTCTCCTTAAAATAATTTCATCATTTCTACCATCAGATGTAATTAATACAACTTTCAATATTTTTCCTACTTTACTTTCTTAATGTCAAACCCCATCTCATCACAACACTGCAGAAAGGAAAACAACAGCTTCCTACCCCCCCAGCACACCCTTCCCAACAGCAGCTCTCTAACCCTAAAACATGTCTCGAGGAACAAGCGAAGCTCACTAACCCTCAGGGATTTGTCTTTTTATTGATTGGCTCTGGCTTGGCCAGAGGTGACTCAGCAATGAAAACTTGACTCCCTGATCAAATACCAGGGACCGCATGACATCTTTGTCAATCCCTATGATCATACACAAAATTACTGGTTCCCCATTCCCTGCATGGTGTTGCTCTTGTTTCACATACTACTGGAAAGAAATAGTTTAAGCGTTAAACTTGCTGTTCACTCAGTTAAATTTGATGATACACAGCAACTTTTTGTATCTCTCAAGAAAACAGTCTTCTTCAACACAGCTTGGTTCCCTTCTTGCCATCAGTATTGGTGACAGGCTGAATTTGAAATTTAAGAGTTTTTAAATGAGGTATTTCATGAAAAATCGATACTTAAATGTGAAACGAGGAGATAAACATACATACAGAATTTTCTACATCGGTTGCCATTTTGTTCGCATATTTTTCTTAACAATATTTTTGCTATTTTGAAAGTACACAGGATTACTTTTTCACCCTTTTTTAGAAGTTGTCTCTCATGCAAAAGGTATTCATAGTAAGATTCAATCATTTTTTTTAAATTGAGAAAATATTTTAAATATTTTATTTGCCCTAATTGATATTTGTTTACACCGTGAGTCACAAATCCAGGCCCAATTTCTTCCACTAAGCAGCAGCTTCTAATCCATAACCATAGTCCTTCAGAACTGACAGTAGACACTGACCTCATGAGGCTGGTCACTGTGACACCCAAACCAATCAGGAAATGTCATGAGCCCTTATGCCTCTCAATAATAGGCAAGAGGTATAATGACAAGCAAACTGTCTGGGAAGCAAATTTAATTACTCCTGAATCCTGATTACTACTGACGTTTTCATGGTCCATCCTGTGAAAGAGTAGGGACTAACATCACTTTTAGCAATATCCAAGCAATAGGATGACAAGAAGGAAAGTGTTTCATATGTACTCATGTGGAGGATGAAACCTGCATATTAACTTGGAACACTGACCAGGGTCCACTTGCACAAAGCGATCTTAGCGCTACGACTATTGTAAGCCTATGTTAAAGTATGGGAGTTACGATCATCTTAGCGCTAAGATCGCTTTGTGCAAGTGGGCCCTGGTGCTTAATTGTTATGTCAGTCAGTTAAGATAGATTATGACATCAAACAGTAATTCATCATATTTTTGTTTGTTTGGTTTGTTTGGTTTGTAACGTTACACTCAGAAATATTCCAGGTATATGATGGCAACCTGTAAATAAACGAGTCTGGACCAGACAAACAAGTGATGGATATTGTGAGCAACGATCTACATCACCAGGGTACAATGACATGCTCTCCACCCGGTCACTGAGCCTGACCACCCGTAAAACACCCGTCGCCTCTTACGATCAGCATAGGTTGCTGGGGACCTTTTCTAACCCGTAAATACCACAGCATGGCATCTAAATGTGCGAGAGAGACCCAGATCTTTCTGGGTGTAGACATTAGCATTTTGGTGAAATGTTATCACACTGACAAACCAAGATTCAGGGGACATTTGCGGGTTTTATCCCATCATCAGTTCCTTGTACAGCTAATGGATGTAACTCTGCATGGAGAACTGAAACCCCTGAGCAAATTAGGCCTATAGTACTTTCATAATCCATTGGATCAAATGCCCTTACATCCCATGTAGAGAATCATGACATGGCCAGACAATCAGCTCTGCACAGCACTGTGGGCTGCCGAGAGCACTGGGTCACAAGTGCACCTG